AATAAAAAAATAAAAAAATAAACATCATATTTGCTTAAAAACAAGAAAATACATCTGTCCTAGCTCTGAATATTTAAGGAAATCTAATTGCATGTGGCCTCTTACTAAATTTTTAACTTCAGTGTAATTAAAACGACTCTTTTAGATGTTTTTTGTGCTTTCGTTTTCTAGTTCACATTTGCCAAGATGTGGTTACTATATGCACAATTTGAAATAAGACAGAAAAATTTACCATTTGCCAGAAGAGCTTTGGTAAGTAAAGAAAGGATCAAGGGGCACCTGGGTGGCTCAATCAGTTGAGCATCTGACTCTTATTTTGGCTCAGGTCATGATCTCAGGGTTCTGAGATCCAGCCCTGCGCTGGGCTCTGTGCTCAGCGCAGAGTCTGCTTGGGATTCTCTGCCTCTGCCTCCCTCCCTGTGCTCGCATGCATGCTTGTGCGTGCGCGCGCGCTCTGTCTCTCTCAAATAAAATCTTGAAAAAAAGGGGAAGGATCAAGATGCATCACTGACTTCTTTGAGAAGGAAATTAAATCTTAGTGCTTACAAGTTGGACAGTTCCTACTAAGAATGCAACAGAAGTATTCTGCCTTTATAACCTGAGATGTGTCAGAAGATGCATGGCCTTTTGAAGAAAGATCGGGTGAGGGCCTCCTGGGTGGCTCAGTCGTTGGGCATCTGCCTTCGGCTCAGGTCATGATCCCAGGGTCCTGGGATCAAGCCCCGCATCGGGCTCCCTGCTCGGCGGAGAGCCTGCTTCTCCCTCTACCACTCCCCCTGCTTGTGTTCCCTCTCTCGCTCACTCTCTCTCTCCATCAAATAAATAAATAAAATCTTAAAAAAAAAAAAAATCAGGTGATAATGTTTAAATTACTCTTTTTTAACATTGGAAGCTTTATCTGTAGCTGCCAGTTACCAGATCTTTTCTCAGACTGGAAAGATCTGACGTTAGATCACATTAGATCTTAAATCAGCTCTTGAGTAGACTCATCTTGTGCAAAACCAGGGGGTATTACATGCACCTTCCTCTTAACAGCTGTTCTAAAGTCTCTTAATAAGATCAAATGCTGTTTAAATGCAGGTGTCCTTCTGTAAGCCACTCTTGCCCTGGCTTTGGGCAGCGAGGCAGCTTTCATTCTGTGGTTACCACTTTACTTAAAGGAGGTTTCATCCATCTGACATCCGTATTCCCTAGGCGCTCCTGAGAAACTTAAGTAAAATCCAGAATACTTGTGCAGACAGTTCAGCAGCCCTCTCTTGCTGAACAGGCACCAGTGGGCATAGGCCCTCTTGACCCCTAGGTGAAGTAGAGGGTTTCCATTGGCCTTCTGTCAAACACCAGTGTGGACAATGTGATACCACAGAGGGTTCTTCCTCAGCAGAGAAGAGCTGCTGGGGTAGGTCAGCGATGTCTGTACACAGGTTGAACCCACATATCACAGTGGTTTGGTCATTTTATTTTCCAGGGAACTTCCATAGGCAAATGTCCAAAGAACAAGTTATTTAAAGGTTACATAGAATTGGAGCTGCAGCTTCGAGAATTTGACAGATGCCGGAAGCTTTATGAAAAGTTCTTGGAATTTGGACCTGAAAATTGTACCTCCTGGATTAAATTTGCAGAATTAGAAACAATCCTTGGTGATATTGAGAGAGCCCGGGCAATCTACGAGTTAGCCATCAGTCAGCCACGCTTAGACATGCCAGAGGTGAGAATCTCGAGAAGAATATGATTTTGTTTAAGATATTGCCCTAGTACTGCTTTAGATGACCGTCTACATGTTGTGCACTTTAGAGTATAAAGATAAACTCACTTGCAGTCTTGTCTACTCCAGATTAGTACTTTACTGTTGAGGGGATAGAAGAAGGATGGGAGTGGGAGAAGCAGCCCTCTAGTAGGATACCAGAGTCCAGCAAAGCCCCATGATAACACCAGAATGAGTTGGGATATAATGGGGCAGGTGACTGGCTCTCTTCCTCCCTTCTTCAAATAGAAGGCTAACTAAAGGGGATGGGACAGGGACAGCCAGGCAAGGAAATACGCAGCAGGCAGCTCTGGAGAATCGGGCAGATGAAGGTTGAGACTGCACATCCAAGGATTCTCCTGGCACAGTTTTTCCCAGATTGGGTCAGCAAAAGAAGCTCTATCTAAACCAGGATATTCCTGAAATTAAACTACTGCCACCATCCTCGCCTGTCCCTTCCCTATTTAAACTTAAGCCACAAGGTGGCGCCAAGCCACAACTAGGACCCGTTTGAGAGCCACTGAACTCACCCACCATTTTGTGAGTCTTGCCCTAATGTGACTCTGCATTTTATGCCTTGGGTCCCACCGGCTGTATTAGGGCAGGTGTTTATGTATAATGGTTCTGTCAGTTGGCCTCAGCTCCCAGGCGTCCAGGCCACATGTTACTCCATCCTTGTCCCCTGACAGGCAGTACCTAGCAGGTGCACTGCTGTTTACTGAATAGTTGTTGAGGTGAACTCAAAGCTATCAAGGAATTTATAGTGGAGGTAAGAAGAGTAAATCCTGGCTAATCAAGCCATGTCTTCTCCTGGCAATGTCAGTTGTATGTGACAGGATCATGGCAGTGTCTGGGAGACTTGGCAAGTCTCTGAGCTTTTCTTGATAAGTCCAGCATTTGAAAAACTCTGAAAGAGAATCCAAAAATGAATCCAAAGCCTTTTATCTAATAATATAGAATGGTAGCCAAGTTTTGGCCAGCTTGTAAATGCCACTGTTTTTATTGTGTCCAGATGTTACCTGTTCTTTAATTGTTCATAGAAGTCCTAGGTTCCTGGATGTCCTAGGTTGGAATGGTCGTTAAGCTGATAGGGACATATTGCTCTTTAAATGTCAAGGCTGACTTATTAAGTTCTTCCTTAGGTGCTTTGGAAGTCATATATTGATTTTGAAATTGAGCAGGAAGAAACTGAGAGAACACGAAATCTTTACCGAAGATTGCTTCAGCGGACGCAACATGTCAAGGTATCCTGCATTCTGTTGATTATCTTTGATTTTGCCTAAATCAGCAGTTCTGAAGGAAATACCGTATTTCTGTATTTTAAGTGTATCAGGTTTTTTTTTTTTTTTTTTTTAAGTGCTTTTCTTGCTTTTAGAAAGAGCCCATGAGTCTCCGAGGACTTTGGAATATAAAGCTTATACCAGGTCAATATTTATACTGCATGAGACTAACTTGAATATCACAGGATTGAATAAAAAGTTAAACTCTTTTCAGGATTTTAAGACCATGTCAAACACCTAATTGGATATAGAAGCAGACTGCTTCAACATTATTGAAGCATATAATCAATATGTTCTTTGGAATACAACAGATGAATACATTAGTATGTTCAGATGTCATTAACTAGAAATTAGCATTATTACATGATCGTTTTCTGGATGACGTGGTTAATTTGCTTCTATAATAATTTTTCGTAAGGTATGGATCAGCTTTGCACAGTTTGAGCTGTCTTCAGGGAAAGAAGGAAGTTTGGCTAAATGCAGACAAATTTATGAAGAGGCTAACAAAACCATGAGGAACTGTGAAGAAAAGGAAGAGAGACTTATGTTGCTGGAATCCTGGCGAAGCTTTGAAGATGAATTTGGAACAGTATCAGATAAGGAGAGAGTAGACAAACTCATGCCAGAGAAAGTCAAGAAGAGAAGAAAGGTCCAGGCTGATGACGGGGTAAGAACTGAGCTTGTGGAGCTGGTCATCTCATGTCGGATGAGCAGAAATGCATCTGACTTTGAAATTTGTACTTCTAAGTGCCGTATGTACAGTCTGAGCATGGGAGCAGACAGCCTGGAGTAGGAGACCATTGCAGCCTGGCTACCATGGAAACACAGCTATAGGAAGGTTCTTATGCACAAAACAACATGACCCAGGGGCTGGCTTACATTGGAGGAAGATCTGTTGGGAAGCTGTTATAAGCAGAGCAAGTGATGGTGGAAGCTGGAACTAGAGCAGTGTGTAGGAAGCCACATCAGTGACCAGTCCGAGGTGGGGCTGTAAGGGCAGGGAGTCAGAATAGTAGTGCACAGATTGACGGCTTTCGAACTGAGTATGATGTAAGTCTTTAAAATTAATTTATTTAAATTTATCAGAGAGAGAGAATGAGCACAAGAAGAGGGAGTGGCAGGCAGAGGGTGAAGCAGGCTCCCCACTGAGCAAGGAGCCTGACTCGGGACTCCATCCTGGGACCCTAGGATCATGACCTGAGCTGAGGGCAGCCGCTTAACCAGCCAACCCACCCAACCCGTCCCAGTCTTTAAAAATTTAAAATCTTAGAAAACTACAAGATGGGAAAAAAAAAAAAAAAGAGTATCTTGGTTGAGTATAGAGGAGCTGTGCTTTAATTTTTAGGATCTTTTTCCACTGGTTTTTAGCTCTCCGTGAGCTGGTCCACTTGCAGCAACACCAACCCCAACAGCTACTTCTTTTTTTTAATTCAATTAATCAACATAACATAAGTGTATTGTTAATTTCAGAGGTAGAGTTCAGTGATTTATCAGTCTTATATAACACGCAGTGCTCATTACACCCTGTGCCCTTGTTAATGTGCATCATCTGGTTACCCCACAGCTACTTGTTCACCCCAATCTTGCAGGCCCAGCCCTTGTTCTTTCTGTAATGGGCTTTGGTGTTGTTTTGTAAATGAACATAAGTTGAATTTGAATACTCCAGGGTTTTGCAGTGAAAATTCTCCACTTTAAAGTAACTGCAGTGTATTTCAGCCACATGTTGGCTTATCTTTTGTTTTACTTTTTTTCCATAGTCTGATGCAGGCTGGGAAGAGTACTATGATTACATCTTTCCAGAAGATGCTGCCAACCAACCCAACCTCAAGCTTCTGGCCATGGCCAAACTTTGGAAGAAACAGCAACAGGAAAAGGAGGCTGCAGAGCAAGACCCAGATAAGGACATTGATGAAAGTGAATCCTGATGTTCTTGTTCATATTGATAAGTGTTTTATTATTTTTATAAATTAACCATTCGGAACTCTTGTGACTCCGTAAGTTTTTGTATATTTCACCAGTAAGGAATTGGAGTCTTTGATAGCTATTTTTTGAATTATTTTTAAAATGTTCTTGGGTTAGTGAGGGGTGGGGGGTTGCAAGAAAATTTTTTGAACCATTAGTTTCCTTTATCGGAGTCCAAACATTTTTTTTTTTTGTCCATATCATGCATTAGGAAATCTAATTGAGGTAATGCTTTCAACTATTTTAGATGGACCTGCACTTTTGAAAGTGTTTTTCTAGAAGTGTTCAAGTTACATTCTACAGTAACTTTTAAAGTTTTTTTTATGCTTGTCTTCTTCATAAAGATATTTAGTGCACTCACCTGAAATCTCTAACTTCTTCACATCTTCAGTCACACAGACTCGAGTTCCATTCCCAGCTGCCACTTAGTAATCTATAACTTAATCTTTTAGTTTCTTCTCTCATAAAATGGCCGTCTGCCAATTCATTTTGAAGATTAGAAAAAGAATATACGTGGCACATCATGACTGCTCAATAAAATGTTCATTCCCAGCCACTTTCCTAAACATGTTCATCCTTGTAGAATTGAATGTGCTTGGATTAATTTAACTTCTAAATATCCGTACTTTCTTAACAGTGGCCATTGGTACTACATGCTTTTGAAAACACCAGTTGGGAAATAATTTATAGTTACTGTATTTCCGAACAAGGTCTTTTTGTTACCAAGATGTTTTAGTCAAATTTCATGCTGTAATCAGTTTCCCCCACTGGTTGAGCTCTGTAATGGCTTAAAGAATAGTAACACATGTGCTGTGAAAAACAGTGCCCCCTGCTCCAGTAAATTTAGGAAACCCCAGGTTAAGGTTGAGCCTTGTTAATCAACTCTCTTTACAGTTCAGCTTCTCAGAGCCTTGGATACGTTACTGTACATGATGAACCCCAACAGCAATGCTGGCGTGTTTCCCAACCTTACTGGACAAGGGAATCATTTCTACCTGTAGTACCAATAAACATCCCCTAGTGTGTTACAGCAGAAGGTAGCTACTGTAATCCAGGATACATTTAACTTAGGCTTGGTTTAGAACACGTGAAAAACACCAAAGGTAACCAACTATAATGCCAAAAAAGAAAACTTAAAGTAGCACAGAGATATTAACACATTTGTTGAAGCACTGCTCATATCCTCAAGCAAAAAATATTTGCCTTAATTAACTGATCTGATTATTTTCTTTAATCTGGCCTGATTTCTCAGGCCTATTTTTTTGTTTTGTTCACTGCCCAAGTTATTTGACTCGAACTGTCATCTTCAAGAGTATTTTTTCACCTGGGAGGGCAACTAGCAACTTTATTATTTGCAGATTTAATTGGGTAAGGCTTACTAAATGTACAAAAATGTTAAAGAATAAAAAAAGCTAGTAAGTATGGTACTGAGTTGTATCTTGAAAGTAAGCTAGTGTTTGAGGGCAGAGGCGGCCAAGACAGCCAGGATCAAAGGCACACCTGTGTTCCGCCTCAGTGCTTCCAGCTCTGGACCAGTGTCACCCAGCTGCTGGGTGTCACGTGGGTCCTGACTATGGAGTACTGAGGTCTGGTTAGCCAGGAGGAACATTTCTGATTTTAATACCCTTTAGCTAAGTACAGAGTCAAGGAGTGAGATGAAAGCAGGTCAAAATGCTAATTAAGTGACTTATCAGAGTCTTCTATAATTCTGTCCTGTTTATGCTGCATAAGAACAAAAATTAATAGTCAGGTTCCCAATGTAAACTCCTACCGCCACTTTCTGGCTGGTGCCAGCATGAAATGCGTGAAGGAAAAAGTTTGTCTCTCACCTTCAACTCCACCAGAGTAAGTCCTTTAAGAGGCAAAAGCTTTTTAGTAATCGTTTCTGTGGGGTTTTCTTTAGCCACTTCTTTTACTCACTGGATATTTTCAGGTATTACAAGTAAAGAAAACTAAACATGAAACTACATGGGTCGCCCACAACTAGTTTTATGGCCTTTCTTTTGGAATTAGGTTTTTTCCCCTTTAAAGAAACCTCAGTGTCTTTTTATATTTTCAAAGGCAGGATTTAAGCAAAGTGGTGTGAGATTAGACAAGGAAAAGATCTGGGACTTAACAGTATGTAAACAAGTATCTGGGAAGAATTTACTATGCAATAAGAAGGATGCCTAAATATTGCTGGGCAGGGGCTGTTTCAAGCATGTATTTTAAAAATGCTTTCTACGTAAGCCAAACAAGAGAAACATCATATCCTAAATGGTGGCTCTTCTCAATCCTGATCTTATTTTATAAATGACCAACAAGCTTCCAGAACACATTCATAGAGTCTACAGTGCATTTTATTATACATCTTAGATTTATACATTTCATATATGCTTTTAAAGCTTCAATTAACAGTTCGATACAAAATAAAAAATATGTATGTAGCAGTGGTTCTCAGGCACAGAATTTAGGAGGAGACTGGAGCAAGTTTTTTCCCTAGCATATAGTAAATATTATGAAACAAAATAGTGGAATGTTTCCATCTGACCCAGCTGCCTTTTTGATTGAATTTTATTACAGTGAACAGCTTTAGTAGGTAGGATATTGCTAACTGGAAACAATGAGACTCAAGTCTATAACCTGTATTTTCTTGAAGTCTGTGAGACCTAAATGATTACTTTTCTCCTAATAGAGCTCCAAGATCATCCAATGAAAATAATATTGTCCATAAAATATCTGGAGCATCAGCCTAAGAACCACTGCCCATGGTTATTCAATGTCTTCAGGCCTCACAGGATGAGGTAATGGTATGATGGATTTCTTCTCAGTGTCTCTGGAAAGTGCTTTCCTCATATCTGTTAGGAAGCAAAATTTAATGTAAGTACCCAAATACCAAAATACCTTATGTCAAAGTGTGTATGTAAAGTTCTCATAAGAGGTTTGTCCCCTACCCCATTTCCTAGGTCCTCAGAGACAAATGTTTTTAAGTGAGACTCCCAGTCACCAGTACTCAGTTCTTCATACCAATGTTCTTTTGACAAAATCTTAGTAAAATTAACATGCCGGTAACATAATAAAACGACTGATAGCAATTAACCATTGGTTAATGTAATTTAACCATTGATACGTTCATAAAGGCAGGTTAAAGGAGATTTAAATATTATAGCTCAAATTTAAAATATTAAGTCCAACAAATACTATGATTCTTTTCCATTTGTTAAAATGACTACAGTGTGTAGAATGAATGTAAGTGTTTTGGCTTCTCTTGGGGGAGACTGCCACAGAAGGGAGCTCACCATAGGCGTCCTCGTCGGGCTCTCCGTTGCTGGCCGAGTAGTACTCTATGACCGTCCGGTACACACTGTAGCCCAACTGCTTGTACATGTTGACTGCAACTTGGTTAGATACTCTTACAAAGAGATCGACAAAAAATCCACCCTTTCTTTAAGGAAAAAAAAGGGAAAATGTCAGTTACATATTTTTAAAAACACTTGTTTTTAGTTGGCTTTGACTACTCTTCAAAGAATGGTAATAATAGGACCTTGCAGCTGATTACCTCATATCCATTTTTATTACTGAGGATTTATGACAATTACTTTGAGGTACAAAGAGATGATTTTCTCTTAGCATACTAACATTTTAAAACCTGTATTTTCTTTAAAAGATAAACTTTTAAAACATTTTTTAAAACCATAATTGTCTTGTGTATTTTATATCACTGTAAATGACATGCTCATTTTATCAACTAGTGATATATTTTCACCCATATGTGCAAATTAAAGATTTTGAGCAATAACAAGCACCTGTGTGCCCATGGCCCACGCGTAACGACAGGACACGGGCTGCCTGACACTGGCAGCCCTGAAGCCCTCAGGTCTCTCTGGGCATTGACAGCCATCCCCTTTACCCAGAGGTCTCCAAGTCTTGACTCTTACTCTCATTTGCTCCTTGGTTTTTGCTGTAGATTCACCACCTAGTACAGTTTTTCCTATTTATGAACTTTATATAAATACTATCGTACTTTGTATATCATTTGGTGATTTGCCCCCCTCAGTAATGTGCAAGTCAGCCTGGTGTAGCTGGATCTTGTTCATCTTCCCTTTGTTTAGCATTCCGTTGTATGGATGGATATACTATAAGTTGTCCATGGTTCCACAGATAAACATGTTGGGATTCTACTATTATAAACTATGCTGCTATGAATATTTTTATTGTATGTCTCATGGTACAATATCTAAGGTCTACAACTAGGAGTGTGATCACTGGCTCATAGGGGCATCTTCAGCTTTTTTAGGTAATACCCATTTCCCAGTCTGCTCACACTCCCAGGAGGAGGGTAAGACTCCATTCCCACAGTGACAAAGGCTTGGTGCATCAGACATTTTTATTTTTGAAAATCTCATAAAAGTATCTCCGGGTAATTTTAATTGGCATTTCTTATTACTAATGAGGCTAAATATATTTTTGTAGGCCATTTAGATTTCTCATTTTTTAGTCCTTATTGGTCTTTTACACATTTTTTTTTCTCTTCCCAACTGTGGTTCTCTATGTATTCTGGATAGTTGACATTATGTAAAGGATTGTTGCAAATCTTTTCCCAGTTTGTGGCTTGACTTATTATCCTCATGTAACTTTTGATAAAGTTACTTCAGTGAAGATGCATATGAGCCTCTCCTTTACAGTCAGACTTTTTATAGCTTATTTAAGAAGTTCTTTTCTACCCTGAGGTCATGGGTTACTTAAAAGGGCTTTTGAGTTTTGCTTTTCACATCTAGGTTTTTAATAAATCTGGAATTGATCTGTGTATGGTAAGGTAGTAATCTGGGAAGTTTTTTTCCCACGTGGATATCCAGTTGTGCCACCATCCCTACTGAAGAGAGTGTCCCTTCACTGCTGCCCTGCAGCTGCCTCCTCTGGAGTGTGTCAAAATCCACATATCCCTGCATTTGTTCCTCGATTCTGTTCCACTGGTCTGGACAAGTACACCAGCAGTGACACAGAGCTCGCTCATTACTGCTTGATATCTGGAGGGGCAAACCTGCCCATTTTGTTGTTGTTCAAACGATCTTATCTCCTTCCATTCCCCTGTAAGCGTCAGAATCAATTTAACAAGTCTCACAAAAAAGACTGGAGATATTGATTGCAATTACATTGGCTCCATGGATCAAACACCAGTTTAGCCCTCCATGCCACTGACCTAGTTCTCTCTCCACTGAGATAGGTCATCTTTTCTGTCTCTCAGGGAAGTGTTGGAAACTTCAGTGAAGTCTCACACAGCTTTTGTCAGATTTTTCTCAAAGGGCTTAAGGTATTTTGATGCCACTGTAATTGGCATCTTTTCCTAAATTTTACTGTTTGTATAGAAATTGAAATTAAATTTTATACTGACTGTCCAACTCTGCTTAACTTTTATTCTAAACATTTATTTATAGCTTCTTGTGGTTTTGTTTGTACAATCTTATGTGTACAAAGTAAGAGTTTTGTTTCTTCTCAGTCCTTGTATCTTATTTTTCTTGCTGTACTGTGCTGTCTAGGATTTCCAGTAAATTACTGAAGATGGGCTGACTGTAGGCATCCTTCTTGTCTCATCCCTCTCTTCAAAGGGAAAGCATTCAATGCATCACTGAAATTATTTACTACAGGTTTTTGGTAGATATTCTTTTTTTAGGTTAAGGAAGTTCTCTTCTATTTCCTTCATTGCTAACAGTTTTTAATCAATAGGATTTTATCAAAGCATTTTCTGCACTTACTAACAAATGTTCTCCTTTCATCTGTTAATATGGTGGAATACATTTACAGATTTTCTCATGTTAAAACAACCTTCCTTCCCCTGATAGATCATCCTTTTTATGAATTACTGAATCCATTTTGCTAAGATTTTTCTGGGACTTTTGCATCTATAAAGACTGATATTTTCTTCAAATTTTCATTCCTCTTATTTCTTGTTGGGTTTTCTTACATAAGTATTAGTTATTTCAGCCTTAAAAAAAAGTTGAAAAATGTTCTTTTTTTTAGTTTGTGTAAAAGTGAACTTATTGTCATTACTTCTTAAAATAGTTGGTAAAATTTGCCAGAGAATCCATAGCTTTCTGGAAAGATTTTTAGCTACTGATTGTAATCTGTTGATGAAGGGAGTCTGCCTGCAACCTATTTTTGTACTGCTCTCCGGCTAAGAACAGTTACTAAAATTTTGAAGGGGTGTTTTAATATACACATACACACATACATACATATGCACATACGCAATAGAGATATTAACGGGCCTGTAAAGCCTAAATATTTATCTGGCCCAGAAAAAGTACTCACCCCTATTCTATGCCCTTAATCAATCTAATTGTTTTATCAATTAGAAAGAAGCATGTTCAAATCTCCCATTATGATAATGTCTGCTTATTTCTCCTTGTATTTTTATCAATTTTTGCATTTTTACTTTGAATTTATGTCACTGTGTACATAAAATTTGTAATTATTACATCTTCCTGATGCATTAAATCTTTTCACCTATAAGCAATGACCCTTTTTTACTCTGATAATTATTGAACTATTATGTGACTCTTGTTAAGTATACCAACTGTCTTTTGGTTAGAATCTGCATGATAATTTTAAAAATTTCTTTCAATCTTTGTCTTTAATCTTTACATATATGTCCTGTAAATAGAATACAGTTCTGACAGTCTTTGTCTTTATTTTACTGTTGTAAGAACACTTCAGTATGAGGTTTTTCCCTCTTAATAAATTTTAAATGCACATTATTGTTTACTACAGGTAAATGTACAGCAGACTATAGAGCTTATTCATTCTGTTTAACTGAAACTTATGCCTGTAACTTCCCATTCCCCTCTCCCCCTGGTCCCTGGCTACCACCATTCCACTCTTTGATTCTCCAAATTTACCTGTTTTAGATATCTCATAAGAGTGGAATCACACATTATTTGTCTTTCTGTGGCTGGCTTCACTTAACATAATGTCATCAGGTCTTTGTCTTTTAACTGGAGTAATTAGTCCATTAACATTTAGTGTTGTATTTATGGATTATATTTGGATTCATAGTAACATCTCATTTCAGGCTTTTTATTTGTTTTACCACTTTAATTTCCTTTTTCTTTCTGGTTTTTAATGTATACAGTTAAAAATACATGTATGTATGTATGTAGATAGGTACATATACACACACACAAAAATCTTATAGCAACTATTCCAAAGTAATGAAAATTTAGAAACTGGTAAAGAAGGGAATTTAGTGGTTTTCTACTCTGAGAGAGAATTTATCCCATAAGTACATAAAATCATATGTGTACAGTAATAACTAATTAGAACCCATTTCTTAACTCCCTGTCCACTATATAATAATGCCAAATACTTTTTTTCAATAAGATAATGCCATTAACAAATATGTAAAAACTAAAAATTTTCAAGTACTAGAACTTACTTCTTTTTCAGCTAATACTATTTTCTCTCTTCTCTGAATAAGCTCAAGTTCCTCTTGCCCTAACTAGGCCCAGAGCATTTTCAGGCCATGGTTACTTCTTTAAAACTTGCCTTTTTAAAATCCATTAAGTGGAAAACCTCAAGAGCCCTTCTCAGCAAATATTCCCTTTCCTATATACTGCTAGGCATTTAAAAGTAGAGAAAAAAATAAATGGTAGCTTGACAACTGATTAAACTTATACACACATCTCTTATCTCTTTTAGAATGGGAGCTGGCAGGAGTCTTTTAATTAAATTACTTTTATCTCACATAATGAGGGTGTGAGATTGACATACACAATAGGTCTTTTTTTAAAAAGCCCTAATGCTGGCAGTTCCCAAACTGTGCTCCAGAGTGCTCCAAGGTGGCCCTGTAGGATATTTCAAATGTTTGGGGAAAACACAGACAAACCTTACATGTCAGATACTGGCAAACTACTAGCTTGATATAATCACAAATGCAGCATTACATGGTGTTACATTTCTTTTGATGACAGAGTAGGTCATCAAAGGTTTTATGAAGCCAGGTTTTGGCAGTTCCTGTGACTTAAAAAACCCCCAGTACCACAAGAAAATCAGTATGAAACAAGAATGCAGGTGGTTGTGTTGAATCTGTTTCCAAGGTTGAGAAGTCATGCAATTCCCAAAAGGCACACACATCTCATTAGTTGGTAACCACAATTACTTCATAATGAAATAAAAATATTATTTCTTTCAATTTGTTTTTTTTTTCCAAACAGCTACTAGTTTGTTAGGCCATAAATACTTACTAAGCAGTTAGGACATAACTGCGTAAGTCTGAACTGAGGGATTTTTTTTTTTTTGGCCATAGGGGCACTATGAAAAAGATCACTGATATGCCAAGGGCAACGTTAACAAAGAATTTAGGAATATCTGCCACAGTGGCAAGAACACTAAAAAAAAAACCTTAAGGGCTAGTCTTTGACTGCACCTGTTACCAGCACATAAGCCCATGGCAGGTCACTCACTTCACCTGATTTTTCTTCAATGGCTAAATAGGGACAACACTACTACTCTGAATATGTGAATACCCTGCAAACTGTGAAGCACAACATTCAGGCTGAACAGAAAAAAAAAAATCTTATACATTTTCACCATAAGAAAAATCAAATAGGGTTTATAAATGATCACTTGAAAAGCAGGATCTCACCTTTCTGAAATCTCCTCTAACAACTCCATAAGTTTAGCAGCCAAACCCAGGCGTCGAAATTCCGGAGCGACAGAGAGAGCGGTGACGTGCCCGTGCCATTCTTCCCTAGCTACTGAGCCTTCCGCTTTACCCATGACTGCCAACAAAAGATTGCACTCAGTAATTAAACACACGGATTTATACATGAATACAGAATGACTGTTGGCACATTTTTATGATAAAGGAAACTAATGACAAAGTTTTAATTTTTAAGTAACACGTAAAGTCATCTAGCTAATGGTTAATAGTGCTCTTAATTTGACTTTCACTTAGAGAAAGGTTTCTTTTTAAAAAAAAGGAATAAACTAAAAACGCAACTAATTTTGAACAAAGAACCAGAATATCTATTTCTTTAAATATCTACATTTCATGTAGTTATGTATGTGTACCCAAAACTGAGATAACCCACAGCTCAAATTTTCATTAGTAATGCTACTAATTCAATGGAGATGCTACAATTCCTGTGTTATGTACCAAATAAACCATGTAGAAATGTAACATAAGCACAGAATGAAAGATCCATGAAGCCTGAGGTCATGTCTGTCTGTATCTACCCCTGAGGCCTAGAGCACAATGCCTAAAATGTAGAAAGCATCGTCGAGCTGTCAGTGGTTAAAGGAAATAAAATTATAGGCATCATGATTATATTTCCACCTCTGCAATCAATCTAAAACAATCAGTTGAAATCTATATTAAAATCTCAACTGCCTACCCAAAAAAGTTCTAGTGGTATTATACTTACTATAACCCATTAACTCTCCACCAGGTGCCTCCGCAACAATGAAGTACTCTGGCCAGTGGGCAAGGTACTGTAAGTAAAAAGGAATCCCATACTAGAGTCTCGTTAAGGAGTGTGGAAAGTAACGGACAGTACAAAGTTCTTCATAAAAGAAATATTGTGAAGAAAGTTCCTTTGAAAAGTACATTGTTACTTTATCCCCAGCTCTATATATGTGTGATTTCTATATTCATGTCAGTACATTAAATATTTAGGTCAGCACTAAGAATTTATAACAAAATTGCCTGAATACAGAACTTCAAAAATATAAGTGGCAACAACACCATCTAACAGCAGAGAGCCAGAAGTCTGAAGTTCTATCATCTGTGTCCATACTGATCGTACTGTATCTAAATCTCGGCACAGCACTTATCACTGGATATTGTTTACTATCTCCCTTTTGGATATGAATGTCATGTTCACTCTATCCCTGGTGCTTGGCACAAAGTAGATGCTCAGTACATTTGTTTTTCCATAATTGCACTAGAAAATTAATGACTAGTTCCTACTTTAGCTTCAGCTGTGTGGCTGTGAAAGTAACTTTAAAAGTTAAGCACTCACTCCCAGAGTCAACAATTACCTAGTGTTTCCCCTGCACTGATTCAAATTCTCTCTCTCTGGTACTACAAATAAAAGCTGACTTAAAAGTGAAAGCCTGAATAATTTGCTCAATATGAAACTCTTCAATCCTGGCGTCCTTACTGACATGTGCTTATTCTTCTATTTCTTCTTAGTGTAAGCTTGCTGATGCAATTCTATGAGGGGCCACCACCAATCACACAATTTTTTTTAAGGTTCTGTAAAATCTCAGTTGTAAACTCTTCAGACTCTCCTCTGAACAACAGCCACTGTTTTGAGCACTCTTCAAACATAACCAGTAACAGGGCAGGCCGGCCAGTCTTCTTGCCATTCAGCCACCGACACACACCATTACCACCTCTCCAGCTCCAGGAGGAGGCCAGATGTCGGCTCAGCAACTACCAAGCCCTGGCAGGTTACTTTCAAACATGGCCTCACCTGGATTATGGGACTTTTACTGTAAATTTGAAGTGTCAGTAGACACACACGCTATAACTTGATTTCGCATCCTAATACTTTACCTTATTATGCAGTGAAAATTTTTGTGTCATTCAGAAGTCTTTTTTTTTTAAACATGGAGGTCTCTTTAAAAAGTCATAATTTTTGAAATATAAAATGAAACCTTTTGGTGATTTTTTTGCTTTTTCACTCAGCTTTATTTCTGATATGTACCCCTGTCATTACCTATACCTATAATTAATCTTTAATAATGTACAGTACACTCCATTGGGTAAACAATTTAAATTTCCTATCGACGAGGGACATGTGGGTTATTTTCAGTTTCTCAAAGATCTTTTTAAATTCCTCATGAATACAGTATAATTTAACCATTTCCTTGTGTGTGAATGCTATTCTAAATTTTTAATACTAGAATTCTGCAATAAAATTTTTTGTAATGACATACTCGGGTTAACAAACATTTCCTATAATGGGACAGACAGTAAATATTCGTGGCTGGGTGGACCCGCTCTGATGTAACTACTCTGTGAAAGCCACGGACAAAGCTACAGACAATATGTAAATTACTCAGCGTAGCTGTGTCCAATAAAACTGTATTTACAAAAATAAAAATAAGCAGTGGACCAAATTTGACCCATGCACCTTAGTTTGACAATTCCTCCCCTGACTGACTCTCTTATTTTTAGCTTCTGGGAAATGGAATTAGTACTACGTATTACACTGCCAACGTGCCTTCCAGAAAGACTGCAGCAATTTATACTTGTCACTAGCAATTTATGAGAATGCTCCTCTTACGCTCATCAGCATGAGTTTTATCATTTTTTTAATCCTTGATAATTTGATAGGTAAAGCATGGCATCTCATTTTGGTTTTAATCCACATATCTTTTGACTGGTGAGACTGAACTCTTAATAATGTCATTGGCTTCTTATATGCTCTCTTTTGTTAAATTATCAGTTAATATTACCCTCCTACCCGGGCGCCTGGGTGGCTCAGTTGGTTAAGCGACTGCCTTCGGCTCAGGTCATGATCCTGGAGTCCCGGGATCGAGTCCCGCATCGGGCTCCCTGCTCAGCGGGGAGTCTGCTTCTCCCTCTGACCTTCCTCCTTCTCATGCTCTCTGTCTCTCATTCTCTCTCTCTCAAATAAATAAATAAAATCTTTAAAAAAAAAAAAATATTACCCTCCTACCCTGCAATGGACATGGAGTAAAAGCTAGAAAGCGACTGAGAATGTGGGATTGTCTATCAGTGCAACATAACCCAGAGCACCCCAACTTTACACATCTTTGCCCATTTTTCAATGGGGAACATGATAGATACAGCTAATTATTACCCCAAATCCTTTCTTAGTAACAAGCCCTATTTAAAGCTGGGCTCCTCCCCCGACTGTTATAGCTGGATGAGTGCGGCAGGGGTTGCTGGTCAATGGGATACAGAAGGCCTGTGTGGTACTTCCTAAAGGTACCTCTGAAAGGTCACTCTCACCTTCCCCTCTGTCGATCCTCCTGCCAGGAACATGGATGTGATGCTGTTTGCTCAGGCAGCTATCTGGGACAGGAAAGCCAAGGCCACCCTGGGAGTAAGATAGTGGTTAAAGTGCACAGCCTGGTCGCCGATGACTTCATGAAACCACCACAGACTGCTCGTCACCTTCAGGCTTCACTCAGAGAGAGTAATAACCCATCTTGAAGTCACTGCTTTCGGTTGTATGGAGCCATACTTACTGCCCAGGGGCCAGGTAGGCAGGGGAGCTGCACTGCTGTAGATTTATGAGGTCATTCTGTTAGCAGCTTGTCAGGCAGATTTAAGACAACTCTTACCCCCAGTTCGTTTGGTTTTTTAAATTACTTTCAATGTTGCTTATGTTTCCTGGCCTATAAGTTTTAAAGCTTTTTGGTACTCAAGTCTATTTTTTCTTTTGTTTCTCCGTGTTCCTTACTCTTAGCCTTCATTTAACTTTTTTTTTTTAAAGGATACAGTTTCTGTAAGTGGATCCAAGTTACTAAAAGAAAGAAAAGAAATGTCAATAGTAAGCAGTGTTGACAAAACCAGTTTAAATAAGCCACTGAAACTAAAAACATGCACCAGGAAAACAAAACATGGCAAATCCACAACTTTAAAACCAACTTTAGGGCTAAGGAGGATAGCGTAAGCAACCGAATGGCCAAACTGAGCCATCACAGCCTCTATAAAGATACCTATAAATCTTTATTTAACTGTTTCTTCCTTACAAGTTACTTTATGGTTAATATGTCTGCATCAAAACCTTCCATTTTCTAATTGGCAGTAAGTCATTAATGGAACGGGGGCCCAACAAGGCATGTAAATCACAGACAGAAAGTAAGACTAGCTCCCGCAGCATCCGACAGCAGTCCCTCCCTCCTGTGTCTGGGCCTTCACCTGCTCAGTCTGGGCCCTCTCACCACTTGGTGTTTGCTCCCCGCTCTTCTACATTCTCACTTCCTCTCCCCCACCACCCCATCCCTTAACTTTTGGAGGAAGACTCCCACATCTGGCTTTGGTGCTGCCCAGCACCTGTCTCACCAGCATATCTGATCACAATACTCCTGAATCAGCAGTTCTTAAAATGCACCTTTACGGCTGGCTGCAAAGAGCTCTGCCCCTCACTTTCCTATTCAACTAACGGAACCGCTATTTTGCCAGGCTCAAAACCAGCCACCCACAACTCTTCCTCTTGTATATCCAGTCAGATTCTTCCTTGGGACCCTTACACCAAGGCACTTCTCTAGGCCAGTAGTTCTCAAATTTTTTGGTTTCAGAACCCATTTACACTCAAAAATTACTGAGGACCCCAAAGAACTTCTGTTTATGTAGGTTATATCTACTGATACTTAAACTTTCTAAAATATTCATTTTAAAATAATAAATTACATGTTAATATGAATAACCTTTCTTTTTAAACCAGAAGTCATTCTACTTTTTTTTTTTTTTTTAAGATTTTATTTATTTGACACAGCGAAAAAGGGAACACAAGCAGGGGGAGAGGGAGAAGCAGGCTTCCTGCTGAGCAGACAGCCCGATGCGGGGCTCAATCCCAGAACCCTGGGATCATGACCTGAGCCCAAGGCAGACGCTCAACGACTGAGCCACCCACGCGCCCCGTCACTCTACTTTCAAAAACACAATTTATCGACAAGAAAGGCATTGTTTTAACAATTTTACAGATCTTTGTAACGTCTGTCTGAAGAGAAGACAGCTGGATTCTCACATGTGTCTGTTATGCTTGGTACTGCAAGTCACACAACTGAAAATTCCACTGTACACTTGTGAGAGAATGAAAAAGGCATAAAAAACCATTTTGGTGATACCCTGAAAATCACTCTGACCTTGCAAAAAGAAGCTTGAAGAGCCTTGGACAATCACTGCTCCACCGTGTGGGAATACAGTCTCCCACACTTCTCAAGGACTACTTTATACCCTCTCATCTTGCCTCAACTCTCCACAACAGGCCACCCCTTCTCAATCTCAGCTGCTTCCTATTTCACACAGAAAATACAACAACAGTAGGAAGAAACCTTCACCAGGGTCCCACCATGGAACCACACACCTACAAGCATCTGCACCCCCCTCTACTTGCTCTCCTGTAACCATGCCTGGAATGCTGGTGGGCAGATCCACACCCTCTCACTGCCCAGGCCCCCGCTCCCGCAATTCTCTTCTCTCCTGGGATAAATGTGCAGACATACTGCACACTTAACCATCAGCAGCTCTTGACGAGGCTCCCCACTGCCTCCACCTGAAATGCTCTCCTCACTCAGCTTCCAAGACTCACCATTAGCTTTTCCTCCCACCTCAGTGGGCCACTAAGGTCTCCTTCAACACCTGGAGCCTCTTTTTCCCTATCCACATTCACTCCACCACTGATGTCACCCAGTGTCCTGGTTTTAATACCATCTACATAGTGGGGGCCCCCCAAATTACTATCTTTAGTCCAGTTACCTACCTGACTTCTGCACCTGGGTATCTCAATGCACTTAGCAGAGAAGCCCAACTCCTAGGAGGGTCTCTCCAAGACCTAGCCCTGTTTTCACCCTCTCACTCTGCTCTATCCACACTGGCTGCCTCCTCCAGTCAGAAACCGGTACCTGTACCCTCGCTGCCTGGAAGTTCTCCGGCTCCCAGTATCCACAGGACTCAACTCCTCACCTCCCCTTCAGTTAAACCAAGGTTTTGCAGGCGACTGGATGGCTCAGTCGGTTAAGTGTCTGACTCTTGATTTCAGCTCAGGTCCTGATTTCTGGGTTGTGAGATCGAGCCCTGCATCAGGCTCTGAGCTGAGCGTGGAGCCTGTTTAGGATTCTCGCTCTCCCTCTCTCTCCACCCCTCCCCCGGCCCCCT